TCGTGCATGAAGCGGCAGCTTTGAGGACTTGACCGCCATGGTCTTCCGAGACGGTCTGAATAGTCATTCCGGATACAGTCCGACCGTCGAGGGTGAAGGTAAGGATGAGGATGCGCCCGCTGTTGAGCACGATCATCACATCACCCGTGTCCTGCGATAACAGCTCGACTTGGCATCCTTCCAATTGGAGGGCCAGATCTGACTGATCGCTGAGCGGGAACGATGTACAAGCCTTGGCAAACTCGTTGACGGCCACGCCATTCGTCTTTCCTCCCTGGTCGACATGTATAATCTCGTTTCCTCCTACTAACAGAGCACCGCCAATGGGAGAGGGTAGCGGCACTACCCTCGTGATGTCGTAGGGCAGTCCGGTGACTGAGAGGAGGGTAGTGGAGGCCTTTTGTTCGAGATCGAGGGTGAAGACGGAGTAGGTGAGGATGTCTTTGCGGTGGGCGAGTAACGACGGGGCAGTGGCCCGCGAGGCAGCGACTATGCCAAAGGTGGGCTCGCGGTACTCGTGCAGAAAGGCGAGGTGGACGGGGTGTGTGAGGGTAGGGTCGAGGTTGGTGAGTGGGAGGACGAAGGAGGAGGAATACAGCGTCTTGTGCTCGCCATCCGCCTGCTCGGCCTTGGTCTCCTTGGGAGCCTCAGCATCGGAATCATAGTCATCTTCGACGAGATCACGCTGGCGAAAGGGCAGAATGGCGAGGTTGTGGGTGCCAAACTTGAGGGCGGCGCATCTGCTGCTGGGGTCTGCCGTCAAGAAGTTGTACGTGTCTTTGAGATCAGCGGACCAAGGGGCAATGCCGGGCAAGTCTGGGTTCTCATAGTAGTGTATTGATATTGTATGGAGGTTGTACGTCTCCGGGTCCCACTCCACCAAACTGAGCTTTGCATCCCGAAACGCCACCAGCAGCGCCTCGCCCTTTGACTTTGTGTTGAGCGCTTTCACGCGCGCCAGCGATATGACGGTGCCGGCGAGGGGGAACTCGCCCACCAGCACCAGCTTGGCCGTGCTCTCGGTGCGCTGCAACGGCACGTCGGCCGCCTCTGTGTCGAGGTTGGCCGCGGCATTCTCCGACTCGTTTCCTCCGCCCGGAGTGACTTCGGTGGTGGTCGCCTTGAGCTCGAAGATCTGGAGCAGCGAGTTCTTTGCGACGACTAGGTTGTTTGACCTAGAGTGCACGAAGGGCAGGCTGATGGCATGGCTGACGGCGGTGGGCGGGGCTATCTCAGTGTAGCACTGCATGGTGGTGGTCGAAGGTCGCTGCCACACTTCTCATGGCAGTCGTGCGTGGGTGGGGCGGGATAGCTCAGCGCGAATTCGTGGTGTTGACCGAGGTCGCGTCAAAAGAGCTCATGCGCGATTCTGTCTAGCGTGTTGTGTTGGAGCTCCAGCCCGGGAAGCTGCGACCCACGCTAGCTGTTCTGGGCAGGATCGAAGCAGGGTTCTGGCCGCTAGACGTCATTCTAAACAGCGACGGCTTCTACCTGGAATCCCCTCTTCTCTCCTCCAGCGATAGCAACTGCTGTCAACGGGTATCAACATGGCGCTGATACAGACCTCTCTCATCTGGGTCGCCTACGCCGTCGCCGTGGGAATCCTCTTTCTCATCGCGTCCACGTTCGTCTATGTCTACCAGAAGCCGCGCGATCGCGCCGCGGCCGTTACCATTGTCTGCATCTTCACCACCCTCGCCCTGCTCGCAACCGTCCTCCTCATTCCCGTTGACGTCGCCCTCGTCTCGTCTACCTCGAGATCCAGCTTAGGCCGCAAGAAAGATTGGGCGACACCGGAGAAGGTCGACAGCATTGTCTACACTCTGCGCATCGTCTACTACACGCTCTACTCGCTCGATGCGCTTCTCTGCCTTCTCGTCATTCCGTTCACCTACTTCTGGTACGAGGAATACGATGAGGACGCGGCCGAGCATGGCGAACAGACTGCTGGCCAGCGCATTGCTGGTGCTCTCAAGTGGACTCTCGGCTTCCTCATCTTTGTAGTCGCAATCTTCCTCGTCGGCTTCTTCGTGCCCTTTGCGAAGCAGGCCAAGGATGACAAGCGTCTTGATCTCGACTACTTCAAGCATCTTCTCTCGGAGAACCGTAAGCAGCAACTTCCACTGTTTGATGACATTGACTAACTCCAGCAGATGGCGAACGCGCTCTATCCTTCGGCCTCGGCTTCCTCATCACCGTCGGAACGGTCCTCTTCGTGCTCTACACCGGTGCTGGAATGGCTCTCCTCCCCGTCGCCATGATCAAGTCCGCGCCATCCGTTTCAGCTCCCACCCTCGCCGCAAACACCGCATCCCAGCTAGAGAACAACCGCGAGCGCCAGCGACAGCTTGAAGGTCGTAACGAAGGCAGCGAGGGCGGACTGGACAGCAGAGACAGGCGCGAACTGGAAGCCCTTGTCCGCGAAGAGCGCACCCTCATCCGTCGCGAGCGCCTCGCTGCCGAGTCAAGCGGCGAGGACCGCCATTGGATCGTCAAGGCCTGGATCAAGACCGAAGCCTTCTTCCGCCCGCTGAAGCTCATCGGCGGCCTCATCCTCATGGTCTTCGCCCTCGTCATCTTCGCCAGCATGCTCATCACCGGCATCGACAAGGCCAAGAACTCCATCTGCGGCGCCCACTGCGGCTACATCCTCGGCCACATCAACATCTTCCAGCCGCTGAACTACATCCTCGTCAAGTCCGCCAAGGTCTTCCCCATCGACTATGTTATGTTCCTTCTCCTCGTCCTCTTCTTCTTCTCGGCCTCAGTCGTCGGTATCGCGACTGCTGGCATCCGCTTCCTCTGGATCACCATCTTCAAGATCCGCAAGGGACATACTTCGCCTCAGGCACTCCTCATGGCTACTGTTTTGCTTACGCTTATCACCCTCGCGATCAACTACTCTGTCGCCATGGTCGTCGCACCCCAATACGCTACCTGGGGCCCGCAAACCTACTGCGACATGAAGACCAACAGCCTAGACGAACAACCCGACTGCACCGAGCACAAAGACCTCATCAAGCCTTGCAGCGAACTCGCCACCAACCCTGCTGCGCAGCAAGTTTGCACACCTTCTGTTCTCAGCACCTTCATCAACCGCGTCACCATCAACTTCCCCTTCTTCGGCGTCGTCCTCTTCTGGGCCCAATTCGCCTTCCTGGGTGTTTACCTCATCGTCTTCTTGACTACGCTGTTCAAAGCGCCTAGTCTGGACCAGGAGCAGATTGATCGTGATCTTGAGGAGGAGGAAGAGGAGGGTCTCTTGGCTAGCACTGGACGTAGGTTTGGTGCTGCGTGGAGTGATGTTACGGGTCGTGCCAGAAAGCCTGCGGGCTATGGTGCGACGGACAGGGATGAAAGGATTCAATAGGTGAAGAGTGCTGTGATGTCTCAAAAGTGGTTGTAAATTGTTTTGTTCAGGATGGGGGATAATTTGATATGGTATGTGCGAGGGATGGTATATATGTCTTTTGGTCTTTTTTTTTCGGTTCAAGTTGTCTGCATTTTCTAGTTGTTTTGTCTCTTTAGTTCGTACGATACCTCATTTTGGCGTTTAGCAAGTTTGCAAATACATGTTCAATTCCGTATCAAGAGCTCGTCTGTGATCGATTGTCTGTGCATGCCAAAACCTTCGGCTGGGTTAGGAGTCGCGGTCACTTCGAATACTCAGTGAGCAGAACGTTTCTGTCGAATGCGGAAGGCGAGGTGACCGCGTCTCGAACTGGCTGGCATACATTGGAAGCCGAGGTGACCACAGCTCTGCATCGACAAGCATGAGTTAGAAGTCCTGGTCACCTCGAATACCCAGCATGTAGTGCTCACCCTTTTAATATATAAACTATGGTATTACTTCCCCATATCTCCCTTCCTTCCTCCAATCCTCCAATCCTCTTCTACCCTTTGGAGCACTCTCGACTGATACACTTCACAACCACCTCGATCGTCGCCTCCCAAGTCCACGCCGTCATGTTCCGAACGTCTTTCGGGTTCGAGATGCTCCACAAGGCTCGCCGTAGGGCTCGTCTCAAGGCGTTGAGGAAGAAGAAGGAGAAGAAGCTCGCACGCTATCATGCCCACTTCGACAAGATGTAAGGTTTTTCTATCCCATAATCTGGCTTGTAACTAATGATAGATGCTAGCACCAAGCGTAACACTGCGCAGTCACCCTTTCTTCGTCTGCCCGCTGAGATCAGGAATATGGTCTATTATCATGTCTTCCACGGCGCAATATACAGCAACTTCGACTTTCTCCCTACCAGCAGCAGATCTCTTGACCGATATACCAGCAGCCGTTATTACAACGGAAAAACAATGCGCATACTTCTCGTCTGCCGTCAAATCTATCAAGAGACAGCTCTACTACCGTATAAGCTGGCACTATTCGACTTCGTTGGGGATCCAGGGCACGCGACGCAATCTTCTGCATCCATCGATGAATTTGGCCCTCTTGAGTGGGACGTTGATGACTTCATGGAGAATAGAACGAGGGCTCAGATTATGGCACTGGGTAGGGTGAGGGCTAGGTCTATCTGGCCCTGGGGGAATGTAACTCAGACTGGGCTGTGGTGGGCTGGACATCTTGGGCATGGTTATTCTCCTTGCGAACCTTTCATCTATAGTTATGGCGATCTGGACCATGTATCCCTGGTATAGCGCATGGAAGATCGGTTGTAGTATCGAGGTAGTTCGTCATTGAAAGAGGACAACATAGGTCTTACCAACACTGCTACACTATAACATCCATTTGGTTTCTCATGACCCGCGAATTACTTATGAGTGACGTCTCGCATTTACAGAAGTTGTGCAATGCTCAGGTTACGATAACGGCGCTGTTATGATGGCGGCCCAATGTGGAACTCACCGTCACCTCGATTGGTTAGCGCCATGACGCCACTTCCTACAAACAGCTGAGTAACTCTTCGACACCTGGGCACTTCCGCTACTCTTCTGCCACTCACAATCCTCTTGTCTTCCAATCGAACCACCAAGCGCAAGTCATCATGGCCAAGTCCAAGCGCGGCTTAAAGTCTCTGCCTACCTCCCTGCCAATCAAGAAGGAACGGCTCAAGGAACTTCAGGATTCGGGTGCAGTTCTAGACGAAGCTTTTCCTGGCCAGGCTTATTCATTTCAGCACGTTCCTCAAGGCCTTGCTCAAGACCCTCAAGATGTTCCTTGCAGTCCGTGTACGCGCGACCAAATGTAAGTTTTCCATTTTGACGAATGCATACGTAACTAACAATGTGTTGTAGCAGCATTTCCAACGCCGTCAACTCACCTCTGCTCCGTCTTCCCGCCGAAATCAGGAACACCATCTTCGCCTATGTCTATACTAAGACCATGCACTATATCGACCACAAGCCTGGCACAACATACTTCTACCTGCCCCTATGTTCCGTGTTAGACAGCGATCAGCTCTCCTCTGAGTCGAAACTAGATAGGATTCCTCTCGTCTGCCGCCAGGTTCATACTGAGATGGCTCTCTTACCCTATGCGCTTGGTACGTTCGACTTTCTGTCGGCCGCCGGAGAGGGATTTCAAGGGCTCTGGGCGCTGAAGAGGTATCTAGAGGGATAGTCGTCGAGGCAAATTGATGTGATTGTTCACCTAAAGTTCCGCCAAAATTCGTTCGCATTAGAGGAAATTTAGGTGCGTACCAGGACAGCTGCATACTGGGTCGCCAAGTTGGAAGAGCTTTCTATCTCTGCCGGCAACATGACTCCAACCGAGCGAAGACATTTCGATGTCTCGTCGATGGGGCCATCTGATACCTAATTGAGGGCTAAGGTAACGTCTTGAGGATCGTCTTCTTCATCAACGTACCTCATTATCACCTGGGCATCGTAGCTGTACCTTCTCGGTTGCTGCAATAGCTCGAAGGCCATCAGTACCATTCATCCCCTTGCTTCCTGTTTCACCTGCATACATATCCAAAGCTAGGGGCGGAGTACCATAGTACGAGTTCGTCTTCCCACTTAGCACAATTGCGTGATCTTACTCTGACGGCAGTGGTGAGTACGATACAGCTTTCGCATTTCATGTAGGTCGGTACTGTCCCTGGAGTCGTAATGTGATTGTATCTAGTGACGTCACCTGCTTGCAAGCGGTTATCGGATGTGGAAGCTGCGGCTCTTATGACGGCCGGCTCAGATTTGAAGTCACTCTCATTTCGATTGGTCAGCCGAGCTTGGGTGATGTTCTCGACCCATTAGCGTCTGCTTTGCTACTCACTCTTGCCCCATCTCCATCGAAACACCAAGCGCAAGTCAACATGGCCAAGCGCAAGCGCCCAGCCACCCCATTTGTTACCACGCAGTCTGCGAAAGAAGCACGAGACGACAGGGCATCGCGTCGCGCAGCTGCTTACGATATTCGCGACCAAGCTCGCCGAGACCAAATGTAAGATTTCGCTCCTCTTCGCAGAGGATGCGACTGACAATGGCTAGTACTACGCTCAATGCTGTCAACTCACCCCTTCTGCGCCTCCCAGCGGAAATCAGGAACATAGTCTTCGCCCACGTCTATACTGACAAATGGCTTTTCTGGCACAAAAGAGGGCATCTGACACTCCCAAGATACAAAGGATGCAATGAAGGGCTAGTTAGTCTATCTTTCGTCTGCCGCCAGACGGAGGCTGAAGCGTCTCTCTTACCCTATGAGCTTGGTAAGTTCGACTTTTGGGCCTATCTGGCATGCGGACTGGAAGAGCTCTGGTCGCTGAAGGAGTTTCTGAGAAAACGGTTAGCGGTGCCTAGGCAAATTGACGCGATGGCTGTTCTAAAGGTTACCTAATGGTCGGTCTCAATAAATAACTATTGGCATTAGACAAAGACGGGTGCACAATGGGAGGCTAAGTTAAAGGATCTTTCTGTGTCTGTTGCTAAGATGGGTTTATATGATCGCATGCTGTTTGATGTCTCCTCGCTTGGGCTATCTGACTAGAAAGGCTAGGCATTCGTGGACTTGGTAGTCCCTCTCTTCGCGATGGTGTTTCTGTATCCACTTATTAAGACGGCGATATCTTCTTGATTGCTTTAGTGACTCTAATCTAGTTAATGTATTTATTACGCGATACGTGCACGCTACCTGTTCACAAATTATTAACTCTAGAACCTAGAAAACAGAGATTAACTATGTTTCTAATAGCTTACGTTATTACTATTATTATATAAACTTAACTTTTTTAGAAATATTTTTAATAATAATACCTACTATAGTAACTTTATAAGTTTATTAAGTTACAAATTTTTTATATAACTACTATTTTAATTTATTATCTTTTTACTAGTATTTTAATTACTTTTACTACTACTATAGCTTTTTAATTACTTATAACTTATTATATATAAGCTTAATAACTTTAAGTAGCTACTACTTTTAGTTATTATATAATAAGTAATAGTAAGTATTTAAAAAGCTATATTAATTTTAGTTAAGCTTAAAGCTAGCTTTAAAGTTATTATAAAGTTACTTTATAGTAAGCTACTAGTTTTCTAGTATATTATACTAAGCTATATTAATACTTACTATTTTAATTAATATAATTTTAAGCTACTATTTTATAATAAAGTATATTTACTATTATACTAGTAGCTTTTTTAGCTAAGAGTTTATATTTATAAAAAAAAGTATAAAAAGCTTTTTATAGTTTATAAAATTAATTTATAAGTTTTTAATAGCTTTATAAATATAAAAGTAGTAAGTACTAGTAAGCTTATAATAATTAAGAAATAACTAATAAAACTAGTAAGCTAAGAAAGAGCTTTAATATATATATACTATAAAATAAATAAACTACTATCTTATATATACTAGTATACTAGCTAGCTTTATTTTTACTATATTAATTATATTAGCTATAATAAAGAATAGCTTAGAAGTAAAAAAAAAAGATATAATATTATAAAAGAAGAAAAAGTATAAGAATCTAGATTTTACTTTATATATATAATAAAGTAGTTATTATAAGTTTATATTTATAGTACTAAAGTATTACTAAATTATAGTATTACTATAATTCTACTATAAGTTACTATTTATAATATTATTAAGTAGAAATTTAAATCTTAAGTAGTAATACTTATAGCTTAAAAAGCTACTAATTTTAAAAAAGTAAGAACTATTACTAGTACTCTAAAGAATATATAACTAAATTTTTTACTTACTTTTAGAGATATAGTATTAAGTAAGCTAAGGCTTAAAGTCTTAGCGCTGCTATCTCTAAGATAGTTAAAGCTTCTAAATCTTTTAGATCTATAAAATAGCTATTTTACTTATAAAAAAATTATAATACTAAATACTTTATAAGAGAACTTTATAAGAGAATTATAATCTAATTATACGCGCTTATTACTAATAAAGTAATATATTCTAAAGCTCTATAGTTAGAATATATATACTAAAATCTTAGTAAAAGCGCGCTCTATTTTATAAGTTACTACTCTTAGAAATTTAAAGATACGTTAAAAATATAAGTAGCTTAAATTTAATACTAAATACTACGCTGCTACGTTAAATAATTTATAAGTCTTCTTAGCGTTTATAAAAATAAAACTAATCTCTTATTAGCTACGTTGCCTTGCTACCTTACTAATACTTAACTAAATTGTTTTCTTATCTCTTTTTAAGATTACTATGCAAATATTTTATCTTAATCTATTTTATAATATTACTATAAAATATTTTAAAAAAGTATATTATATTTATATTATAAAGAACTACTACTTATTTACTATATTATATAAGCTAAGTATAGCTTTTACTATATAAATTACTATATTACTACTACTACGTTGTAGACTCTGCTTTAGCATTAACTCTAGTCTCTTATTAAGAATTAACTCTAGAAGGTGAGGTGACCGCGTGTTCAAAACAGCGAACGTGCATCGAAATCTGCCTTTACCTCGAATAATCAGCATACATCGTTCCCTCACTAGTGTATGATAGCTTCAGCTCTCACGCGTTCTTCTGTCTTTATCTCTAACCTGCACTTCTCTACTTCTCTTCTCCAGATCCTACAAGCTCAACATCATGGACCGCGGCAGGAAGCGCGCTCTGTCGCCTTCGGCTGCCACCTTAGCTAAGAAGCAGAAGCTGGATGCCGATGACAAGCGTACCATTCAGAAGGCTATGGCTCGATTCCAAGCTCGCGAACGTTCTCAGACTCGGCGCGACGACCTGTGAGATTCACAACCCTTCCTTGATAAATATGCTGCTAACAGTGTCGTATAGTCACAAGTCAAACGCCATCAAATCTCCTCTACTCCGCCTCCCAGGTGAGATCAGGAACATGATCTTCGACAATCATGCGACGGCAAGCTATACAACTCGCTTCCGATGTTGGGATTCGCACTCACCTCGCATGGTCATCCAGCAACGACAACAACGCGCCTGCCTCTTTCCAGCCTTGACAGAGGCTCTTACCCTCTCACCCCCGCACTACTCCCGCACTACTCTCACACTCTCGTCCCACCGCCACACTTTTCGATTCTTTCGACCACACCGTCGCAACACTCCCGCTCAAGGTCACCGTCAATGTCGTCAGCTTCTATGGGGAAGGGAATGGCGCCTGCTCAAGAGCAAGCTGAGCGCAAGCGCAATCGGCTCAACAAGATGTGAGTCTCTCCATTGTTCAGTGCCAGTGCCATGACTAACAGTGAATTAGCACCGAGCTCAACGCGACACGGTCTCCCCTCCTTCGTCTACCCACAGAGATCAGAGACATGATCTACACACATGTTTTCCGCGATGAGATCTACCACCTGGATCGTGAAGAGTGGCAAGACAATCAAGCCGTCAAGTTTAAAGCTTGCGCTACCTCTCTGGGCTCCCGAGAATATAAGCCTGGGGCAATTCTTTTCGTTTCTCGCCAAGTCTATCACGAGGCCGCCTTACTTCCCTACAAGCTCGCGGAGTTCGACTTTGGCATCGCATTCGCTGATGACGATACTATGGAATCTAGACTTTCGGCCATCAAGCATTTCCTGGAAGAGAGATCACAAGCGCAGGTTGGCAGCATTGGTCTCATAGAGTTGCTTGTACTCGAGGACGCATCGTGCAGGATTAAGCAGTGGGGTACGACGATAAAGAACGGGATATGGTGGGCTACGGAGCTGGGCTGCGATGATCCTTAGTCTAGATGTTCACTAGCTCTCTGTGCAGATCCTGGATCATGATAAGGTACGGTGATGATCAAGTTCTTTCTGGTGGTCATACAGTCCTGGAAGAGTAAAACATGTAGTGCGAAAGACTGTTCCATCAAACAATTGATCTTCTTCTTGATGGTTCATGTCACGACGATCGAGTTGGTAGAAGTCAGATTTATCGTTTGAGATGCGGCGCGAGCTTACTTGTGCGTCAGATCAGTCGTTTAAAATGACGTGTTCCTGAAATGGCAGCTGCTATGAGTTTCGCACTGACCTTTGGTCACCCAGTAACCACAACAACAACGCGAACACCTCTTCACACCCCCGCATTGCTCCCGCGCGCGCTGCCACTTCCACTCCTTCCAGTCTCGTCTATCTTTTGCTCACAGCGCTATCCCGCCACCAGCGTGTTCATTCCACGTAGGCAACGCGATGGTCGACGGGAGTCCTCACAAAGCCGCAGCGGAGATGCACCTTCTACAAGATGCTGCTCGCCGCGACTCGATGTAAGCCTGCCCTAATTTTCGCGCAGCGGCTCTTCAACTCACCATATACACTAGAACAAAGCTCAACGCCGCCCAATCTCCCCTTCTTCGCCTTCCTGCCGAGATCCGGAACGCGATCTACACCTACGTATTCAGTGATCAGATCTACAAACATGGAGCACAATGGGATGACTACCCCTCGGTTATTTGTCGCGCTGAACATTCGTGTCTGGGGCTGCTTCTAGCTTCTCGTCAAGTCTACCACGAAACCGCCTTGCTTCCCTACACACTCGCCACCTTCGTCTTCGATGGGAGGATTGCATTTTATCCTATGGATGCACAGGTATTCCTAGAAGAAAGGTCTGAAGCGCAACTTGCGGTACTCGGTCGAATGGAGGTCGTATGTTGCAAGAAGAGATGGGATGGGACGGGGGCCGACTTCTTCTTCAAGGAGATTGATCATATCCTCCACAATGGCATGGATCATTGGTCCGACGTTTGACTCTACAAACAGCATCCTTGTCTTTGTATTGGCCGGGGAACTTGTGTTAACGAATGCCACTCGAACCGAAATGGTTCACTACCTTCAAAGAATAATATACTGTAGACTAGCTAAACCTTCAGTATTTGTAACAGATGATCCTCATACGTCTACTATTGATTAGGTGACTCCTCCTCGGTGCTACTCACAAGCCCACGCTAGAAGTGCTTCGGCTTTAAACGCCAGCTTCGCATTCGATGCGAAAGCTCCCCTCGCTGTATGTATCTTACCGAAACGGTCTAAATCGTAGGTGGACGTGCCCTTTCCCCATGACGCACGGCTACCCAGCGCCACGACAGCGCGACTTCCTCATTGTAGCCTTGGCGTATTTTACTACACTCCCGCACTTACCTCATACTCTCATCCAACATTCACCTCACATCTCACAGTCTCACCTACCGCGCTCGCACACAACCATCCCGTCGGCAATGTTTCGGACCTCTTTCGGGATACAGATGCTTCACCGCGCTCGCCGTAGGGCTCGTCTCAAGGCCGCGGCCCAAAAGCGGCTTCTTCGGGAACGCGCCCGCCTTGAGCACATGTAAGAATTCCTCTCCAGTCGTCGCCAGCCTTGTATAGAGCTAAGATCCTGACTCCAGTACCACGCTCAATGCCACACGCTCACCCCTTCTACGTCTTCCTGCCGAGATTCGAAACCTGGTGTACCACTACGTATTCTGCAATGAGATATTCAGGCTCAACGAGCACAAATGGTCCTATACAAAGACCACCACGCTGGTTTCCGACAATGGCGTCAGTCTAGACCTACCTCGTGTCTCTCGTCAGCTCTATCAAGAAACAGCATCACTTCCGTACAAACTGGCAGTCTTCGACTTCGGACCTCGCATCGAAGCGTATTCCACTATGAGGAAGTTCCTGAAGAACAGATCCGAGGCGCATATTCTGGCAATGAGAAGCGTCGGGTACTGGGGACGGTGTAGGAAACTACGCAACGGGAAAAGACATTATACGAACGGGGCATTTTGGCCGGCAATATGCTGGGCCAAATGGCTGAGAATTAACAGTTCTGGCCCCCGGACCTAGGTCGATTGCTCGTTTGCGCTCTCTGGCTTTACAATCGAGAGTGTAAGTTTACGAGCCGCGCCGTGTGTACTATGCAGGACCGATCGATGCGGAGGGGGAGAAAGTTTTGTACAATGGCGCGCTCGCAACGAAATCTATCGGACAAGATTTTGCACTCATCTGAATTTACCTAACAATCAAGACGCATCTACAATTCGTCTTAACAAAGTGTCTCTCACACCCGTGCCCTGCTCCCACACTAGTCCACTTCTACCGCGCCCGTTCACCATCCACACACTCGTCCACTTCCTTCCCATACTCCTATACTCGCTCAACCCGCATCACCCATAATGGCTGGTTCTATAGCTCTTACCCCGTCTCGAAAGCGCGCTGCGCTGGCTACCACCGACGCGCCAGATGCTAAGAAGACGCCCACCTTCGACATCGGTGGCAAGGACGTTGTTGAAGACCATGACGTCAACGATTGCATGTATGTCTACAGCTGTGAATTTTCTTTGAGATATATCGCTAATGTCGCATCGCAGTACCGCGCGCAATGCCACCAAGTCTCCGCTCCTTCGTCTGCCCGCCGAGCTCCGCAATCTGATCTACACCTACGCTTTCGACAACACTACCTACACCTTCTTCAAGAGCAATAGAGACACAGAGATAACGCCGTGCAATGAATCATTGACCGAAGATAGCATGAGCCTGCTTCTGGTATCACGTCAAATTCACGCCGAGACCGCCTATCTTCCTTATAAGCTCATTACATTTGATTTTCTGGTCCACAACGACAACAAGAGTCAATGGAAGCCCTACGTAAGGAAGTTCCTGGCTAAGCGTTCCGAAGAACAGATCAAAGCTATGTCTTGTCTGACGCTACGCCGTTGGACCTATGAAGAGCAGGGATTCGCGATGGGGACTGGATTATACTGGGTCAAGAGGCTGAAGATCAAGAAATATCGATCTATCGTTCGTTATGCACGACGTAATCGCTAGTAATTACTGTGCTTGACAAGCGAAGATTAGAGCAGCCAGAAGGTCTTCGTAGCAGTCGCTTCTCACAAATCAATTTGATGGGCATCAACGCCGCTGTTCAGTATCAATCGCATGTCATCTATGGGATATCACAGGCCGCACTGAAAGCTAGTAAGAGTAGTAACTTTCGTCAACTATGGAATGTTTAGCAACGGTTATTGAAGCTGGAAAGCCGTGACATGCACGGTTCATCTGGTATATGTTAATGGATGTGACATGAAGTCGGCAGACATAACCACACCTTGCAGTAAGAAGCGGTCGGCAGAACTGCTATATGACAGGTGATGTGTCTCTGTATCTGCTGAAAGTGTCGTGAGAGATGGCACAAAGCTGGTAGAAAGGTGTGCTTTCGGCACGACGCGTCCACATTCGATCTCACTTGGCGTTCTTACTCAGTATGGTGGCCTAGCAACCGAGGTGCGTAGATGTTTACATGTTGTTTTAGCGAGCTTCCGCACACTCCACCACCTTGCGCCTTCACTACCCTACTCTTCCCACTATCATTCACTCCTCAACATTACCGACACTTCAAGCGCACGCCAACATGCCGCCTCGCAAGCGCTCAGCGAAGTCTTCAGCTGAGGCGCACTCATCGAAGAAGCAGCGCGACGATAGGGCTCAACAGAGAGGTGCGGTTCGAGAACAAGCCCAGCGCGAGCAAGGTCTTCGCGATCAAGCTCGTCTTGATCAAGCGCTACTTGATGAGACACGCCGCAAGGAGTCCGCTGCCGCCGAAGTCACTCGTCAGAAAGCTCTTCGCGAAAACATGCAAGTCTCCAGCTCAACAACAGATCTTCAAAAGCTAATGCGTCGCTTTAGTAACAGCCTCAATGCCGTCAACTCGCCTCTTCTTCGTCTACCAGCTGAACTGCGAAACATGATCTACGATTGCGTCTTCAGCGGCGATAGCTTTTTGTTTGATCAGTACTGGTTCCCCGGCAGGAGGCCGAATGGAGTAGCGCTACTTTGCTCGGGAGCGTACCAAAGCCACACTCTTGGTTTACTACTCGCCTCTCGACAGCTTCATGACGAGACTGCGCTACATCCTTACAAGCTCGGCGTCTTCGATTTCTGGTTCGATGAAGACCACTACGATGAATATGATTGGCCTGAAAAGGTGATTGGAAGCTTCTTGCAAGCTAGATCTCGGAAGCAGGTAAATGCCATAGCTAGACTGGAGGTCGGTACACATCATCTGTGTGGTACCACGTCGAGAAAGACAAAGAGTGGGGTCGAATGGGCGAAGCAGTTGTTTGGAAGGTGATTTGGACGTGTGCTTGTCCAATTACAAGCTATCTGAGCTCGTATGGATGTTTTGAATCGGATCAGTTCCTGGACCACGTCCAAGGGGATTAGAGAGTGACCGTTTAATCGGATCGACTCGGGTATAATACGCCGGTGAGAAGGCTCTTCGAAGTAGCTTAAGAGGTAGCCTACTTCTCGGCCAAATCACACCACATGCATTCCGTTCGCTTCGAAGAGATTTCTTCCACTAGTGCAAGTCCTTCTATTGACAACAATACTCATCCAAGAAGACCTGAATGAATGGGTGTGTTGTGCAGTTGTGCAGTTCGGCAGTTGCCTGAGGCTAGTTATGCTCTGCGTAATCGTAGTACTGTCAAATCAAGTGGGCCTCGATGTATTAGCCTGGCAGCGAGCTCTCGTGGAATGTACTATCTCTACTCCACACTCTTCTACCACGTCTATCACCTCAACCCCACTCTGATTCGCAGAACTTCCAACACCTTGAGCGCACACCGTCATGGCATCTCGAGAACGCGGAAAAAAGCCTCGCCTCGGCGCATCACCTACCAAGAACAAGAAAGAACGCGATCGTCGAGCTCAACGCAGGACAGCGGTGCGTGAGCAAGCTCTCCAAGATGAAGCTCGCCGGGCTAAGATGCAAGATTCCTACCTCTCCAGCTCTCTGTAAAGGAGGATAGCTAACAAGATCTCCCAGCACTGAGATGAACGCACTCAACTCGCCCCTCCTTCGTCTTCCAGCCGAACTTAGGAACGCAATCTTCGCCTACGTCTTCAGCGACAACGTGTACCTGTTCAATGGCGCAAACGTGTATTGGAAAAGGACCTCTTCCACGACTTCATTCAACGAGAACAACCTGGGCGTGCTCCGTACGTCGCGCCAGTTGCATGCCGAGACAGCCCTGCTTCCATATCAACTCGCTTTCTTCCATTTTAAGTTCAGAGTTTCCAAGGTCGAATGGGCAAATTGTGTGGAGAGGTTCATGAAGAACAGAACCATGGAACAAGAGCTGGTTATGAGCAAAAACATGATGGTCAGCCAGCTCGGGAAGTATGCAGGAAGTAATCGTTACTGGCATGGCACATCAGCTTGGGACACTCCATATTGGTGAAAAGGGAAGGAATGACTTTGAGTGACCGCCTCAATAGGCGGATACTGGCGATCAGCGATGCGGGTATGCAATAACCCAGTATAGTGCCCCGAAGAGCGATCGGCAGCATCTTTCATCAAGGTGCTGGCCGTAAAGACGCAAGGAGACGAAAGAGCACCGAGAAGTATTATGTCGCTGGTCATACATTGAGTACTTCCAAGGTTGTGTTAGCTTGTCGGACTGGCGTACCAAGACTACAGCAGACAGAGACCGTCGTAGTAGAAGTCCGTGCAGCCGCTTACAGGTAGGGACGCACGAGTGGGACTCGGCGAAACGTACTTCCGAAGCGTTCTTGACCCCGCGCCCCATGCAATGCAGCTGTGACAGCCCTCTCTGCTTTGTGCATTTAACGATAGATCCCAGCACTTCTCTCAGCCTGATAGCGGCAGGTTGCAGGCTTCAAGAGCCGATCTCACCCGCAGCCTTCAAATACAGGGTTTCTCCGTATAAGCGCCCGCGCATGGTGCACGAGCGCAGGCGCTCCAAAACGCCACGAAGTAGCTCCTATCAGCGCCACGGTCTTCACAGCCTTCTTGGTATCAACTTTAGAAACCGGCACTCAGCCCCGTAGGCGCCCTCTATGATGCCAGCCTCCTTATGGGTCCACCACGAAATGGCTTCCCGGTGATGTCTTTTCCTTCCTTCCTTCCCGCATTTTCGCAGACTTTTTGCGCTGAACAACGCTGGCCGCGGCGTCCTGCATAATCTCGAGTCGGCCATTATGTCCGGATATCTTAACACAGCCCAGCTTGATGTACGAACTAGGCTTGCAGTTGCCTTGGGCTTCGAAAAGGCCATGCCTGACCCAGGAATTAAGCCATACTTGGCTTACATCACAAATCAGTATACTGGAAGAGAGGAACTGGTAGACGACTGGCTCGAATTGTTCGTCATTACTGTGCATCATTTTCGGTCAAGAAGCAGTATTCAGCAGGCCACTGCCGCCCATCAGAATGCTGGAGGGGTGAATGGACTCCTTGCAGATAGCCTAATGGCGTTGATCAACCGCATGTCTGCTGATACATCCTGTCGATTGTTCGCGGACACAGACGTAAACACTCTGCAGAGGATAGAACATGTTGAGGATAAGATCATGTTCATACTGGGTATCTGGACAATGCTGGAGAACTCATTCCGCAAACGGAGCCGATCACGGGCAATTGTCTGTGCGTACGACGCCTTTGCTGCGCCTACCAATCCTCCAAGAACACCGTACAACATGAATCTACGGGATCTCATTTCCGGTAGTGGATTACTTCCTGGCGGCGCTCGCGACCTTGAGATGGACGCGGAACGTGACATCACGATGAACTCGGCGGCCTTGTTCACTACCGCGCCAACACTTTCGACTCAGAGCTCAGGTCAAAACATTGCTTCGCAACTATTGGGAAGCTCGCAGCTATCTCCAGGTCGGTCATTGGGAACTTTGCCTTTGTTATGATGAACTGGTCACTGACTCGCGATGAAGGTCTGCCTCACAACGCACGATTGTCACTCCGATCGCTGGCGGACATCGACGCCGTTGAGTCGCAGTCGATTGCAGCGACGAGAGTCAATGCTTTCACTTTACGCGCTTTCAGCGCAGTAGAAGTCCGCTGGACATACAACATCTCCCGACATATGCTCCTTGCGTCGTCAAACGATCGCTACGTACTCGAGCTATTCTGCCTTCCAAGTGCATTCCAGGCGATCAAGCAGCCATCCGTTGGTATGTCGAAAGGCCTGCTAGAAGAGATACACAACTCATACGCGATACTGTTCAATGCATGGACCTCAGAGCCCAAAGGACCCCTTCACACTCACCTGTGGTCTATCATGCGCATTCGCAGCTGGTGTTGGTGCTGGTCATGTTCGGCATTTCGGTATCAAGCAAAGTGCGCGATAGCTGCTAGAGACTACCCGAGAGCGAGCAAGTCAAGACTACTCTTCCGCAATCTTATCTCATCAACTCACGAAGCTTTCGATCCGTTACTCGTAAAGATGATGCAGGAGGAACCGTATTCAGCTTGGTCTTACGAATATTTCCCAAACCTTTGGACACGCATTATTCGCCTCGAGCAACATCTTCAGACGTCCAGACCTTGGAGCTTTTGGGTTCTCTTCCGTGATCGTAGGGACACATTCCAGTTCTGGACTTTCTTGTAAGTCTGCAACTGCTATTGTAACGACACTTCTAACACACAAAGCTTCGCCACCGTCGTTGTCCTTCTTACCATCGTGCAAGTGGCTTTAGGTTGCGCGCAAGTTGCCGGATCATTCAAATGAGCAGTGGCAACTCCAAATGTATTCAACAAGCTATGGTGTAGTTAACCCGCAGGTCGTCTGGTAGCTGGAAGGCACCATAGAACGCAATTCTACCTGCCTTCAACCTCTGCTCCAACTCATCTCCTTCCGCTTCGAAGTTGCCAAAGTGATCACTTCGTTGCACAAAGCTTTGAAAACCAATCACTCCTTTGACAGCCTTGCCGTTTTCGAGGTTGCTATCTGCATACAACGCCATGCCACTGTTCCCTTGGGTTGAATCAAAGTCCGGGCTAAGACGATAAAGGACTGCTCGCGAAACCATACTCTTCCAGACGGATCTATCAAGATCTTTCAACGCTTTTGATCCGCGCACATTCAAGAAGATACCTTCACCCACAATTACTACTTCCGAATCATGACAGCACCTCAACGTTTTCGCGTCTCGATCGGACTCTCTCGGACCGAGGAATCTGACAAGCAACGATTGCTGGCGCAGTGATGACCACGATCGTTGGTCGAGCCAAGTTAGACCACCAATTGGTGACTTGACGTTTTCAACCAAGGATGGGTCCAGCGGATTGATCAGCGTGATATCGTGCGTGAATCCTTGCGGATATAGCTCGGCCAATCCTTCGTCATAACTCTTCTCTATTGTACCCATCTATTGGCTAAGTTAGATGTGTTGAAGGATGCCTGCTAGCTCACTGACCTTGACGTTTTCAGCACTTATCTCCACCTGGTCTTTCCAGCTCTTTTTCAACCTCTCTATATGGAGATTGCCAGACATCATCGGTAACGTTCTAGCCGTGATTGCCTCGGTGATGACGTGCGACGACATGACGAGGTACGAATGACTGCCTCTCAGCACCCTGAGTCCGATTTTACCATCGAACCTGCGTTTTGGATTCTTCACTGTCGCAGCGCTAATAGTGTCATTAATTGATAATGGCGGCATACTCCTTACTTGAATTGGGGTATTAGTCTGCGGAGATTGCGTTCTTGTCGGAAACATTGTCGGCTCCAAAGTCCGTTTGATGTTGATATAGCAGATCTTCAGACCGCCATAGGTATGAGGCATGCATGACGCTGCCACTGCGATATCAAACTCACCGGGTACTATGATCTGAAGAATTCCGTTGATAAGCAAGTAGAAGCCCACGCAGCCTTCGAAGGTAAGAAAAATATCCCGTGCAATGTCTACAGAGATCTCTGCGTAGCAATCAATTAGTTTGGACGATCTAGGATCTGGAGGAGGGCTGACACCTCCAGTTGGCGGCCATCGATAGTCTACCGGAATTACCACTGGTGCTCCAGCAATCGTGAGTGGATATGATGCGGGCTCATTGTCGTCAAGCGGCCGGCAGGTCCAGGTCCCTGGGAATTGGCCGCTCAATCCGTTGGTGTCGAATTGCACACCCGATTTCAATGAATCGGGGAGAAGGCCGTAAATAGACTCGGGAGTTTCGATGAGCTCTCGAGACATATCAGTGAGTATGTGTCTTTGAGACGCATTGTGACAACATTGTGTCTCAGTAGGCATCTTCTCGTCCTGACTCTGTGGCCTTGGCCCCTCCAGCTTTTCAGCCTCCTCCAACCGCTTCTGATACCAAAACGTCGACGCCAGGTTGGCCGTGCTGGTGAGTGTGTCGGGGTGCTCGACTCCAAGGACCTTATCTACTATATCTTCCTTTCTTCTACTACTATCGAACAATGTTCTTCCTCGATAGTTGCCGATCGTGTCTCCGAAATTGGATATGGTGCGGCCACCGGCTTCGACGCCCTGATATATAGCTTGGGTCGAAGTCTCCTTAGAGTGTGGAGCCTGTATAGGGTCTGAGCTCGCATGCTCAACTGGGTGAATGGTGATACTCGGTATCCTGGTGATTGGTCCTTCTCTCTCGTGATCGGGGTTTGTATACTCAGTTGGGCTTTGGGACATGATACTCGTTGGACAAGAGACTGCCATTTCCGTGTTCGCAGCGCTTATGTCCACTGTGAGTGGTGGTGGCGGGCTATGCTTCAGCCACTCCTCTCTTCCGCTGTGCATAGCTTGACCGATCTGGCTAAGCTTCTCGCGGATCTTACTTGGGCCCAATCGATTACCCGGCTCCTTGACCACGATCTTTCTGATGAGATCAACGCATTGATTCGTCCATAGAGCATTGCTTGAGATGCGCGTAATTGATTGTGTGGTATTCGGTAGTCTGGCAAGATGGTCGATGAACTCTGACTTGACATCCTTGGATCTTTTATTGTAGAACTTTGAGTCCGCTGGAGAGCTCTGTAAAAGTGAGTCGCGAAAAGACACCACTTGCTGGAAGTCGAGGTTGACAGCGTAGGTGACAATCTCAGAGAGAACGCATCCGAAAGACCATACGTCCGCATTCCTGCAGTCTGCTTCTCGCGGGGTTTCTTGATCCAGCTCCGGTGCCGTATACATCCCCGGGTATCTCTCTGGTATATCATTGGACACAGATTTGGGTCTCTCAGTTCTGTGTGTCCTCTGGGGATAGGAAGAAAGGAACGGAGGATTGCCCGCACTCAAGTGTCTGCTGTGGCCACCAGAGGATCGCTTGACTTTCATCTTCGAGAGCCCGAAGTCGGCGAGTTTCCACTGTCCCACGGGGTACAGCTCACGATCACTAGTGGTCTCAGGATACACCACCAAGATGTTTTCTGGTTTGATGTCATTGTGGGAAAGCGATGAATGCAATTTGGAGGAGATCAACCGGTTATGAAGATAGTCCAATGCATCGGCGAGATTGACGCTTTCTGAGATTAGATCTCCAGGCCACATGTTGACGGAACCTGTTCTTTCCGGTGAGGCTGTGGCGTGGCGTATCTTCCTGAGATCATACCGCATCGTGGTCAGGAAGACATTGAGATCGTATGCGGCCAATTCGTAAACGATATGATAGATGTCAGTCGGTTCAGACCTCTCTACCATGGTAACAAGATTGACCATGATTCGTGTATGGGCACTGAGGCATTCACGTAGCTCTTTCAAGTTTTTGAATTCTTCTTTGAGTGCAACGCTTCCAGACAATGTCTTGACAGCAACAGCTCTGGACTAATGCATGGGTCAACGACGCGTGAAACGCTTCATTTAGGCGGTAGCAACTTACTTTCATATTAGTAGTACGATTCTGAAAGCGCAAAAATCCCTTCGCCACTGTTCGCTTATTGACTTGTCCGATGCTGCCTTCCCCTACAAATTGTGGTTCGTCAATCCAGGGAAGCCGCTCTTCGCTGTTAAGTACAAATTCATCTTCTTGCTCCGGGATTGGAATGGGACAAAACGCGAACTGGTTCTCGTGAAAGAGCGCTCCCTCCGATCTCCCCAAGAAGTCCGCTTGCTGCAATGTTCTCAAGCCAAAAGGGAGGTTTTGATCTCGCCGATTTCCATGCCCGACGAAAATTGCGCCAAACCGCTCCCAACGGCGGAAATTTATGCGGATCAAAATTGACATTATTCGAATCATCTCGTCCATGAAGTTGGTCCTGTCCCACTCCGGATCATACCATGCTTGATTGACGTAGAACTTGCGGTGACGGTTTTGTGCCCAAATTTTGCTGACTACTTCAGGAAGCATGATTTCCTCGCTTTTCTTACCAACCATTCCATCTTTCAATGCTACGAAGATGTCGTCTCTAATCGTATCGATATCGACAGGTTGCGGATTCGCGTACGAGTTTTGATTTGTTGTGGCATCGGGACTGAACTGCTCTCCCGATTGAGCGCGGGTGAAATCTGATTCGGTCTGTGGAGGATTGCGCTGATCTTCCAGTGTTGTTGGGCTGATACCAGGCGTGACCGCTGTGGATATGTTACGATTGCCGTACAAGCGTGAGAAGCATTGACCCATAATGGAAGTTGACCACGTAGTACAGGCCACAGTCGAGTAATGTCTTGCGAACCAATGCATAGGCCGGTATAATCAGGGGATGCGCGCTCTTTTCGAGTCATTGTTTCCGCGCTTTCAGCCCTAACGAACGCTCTGCTGCCATTCCGTCGTTTGCTTCGCAGTGCCGCGATGCGAAAGCCGTCGGACCCAATCAAAGGTGACTGCACGGACATTGGATGCCTCAGCTATCACCCTCCACTGTAAGCTCCGCCTCCACGATAATTGATGCATTGAGTGTGGTGTAGGGCCGCTATATATGATTGGCTGTGATTCGGCCTACGAGGCTCCGAACGATGTTCTGGGTACGTCGTAAGAACAGCAGCCGCCGGATATGGAAGGCGTTCTGCAGGCTGATTGGACTGAAAACGCCAGAAAAAAGCAAACATGCAGCCTGGTGCAGCTCAGCCAATCGCGACCGAGAGTCCTTCTGCTGCTTGCTGCAGCGACGTGCTTCATGCCACAGACACTCGAAGCACAAGTGACAGAACCATTGGCCGAGTGAGGCTCTGTTCGTCATATTTTGATATATATGCGCTCAGTCGGATGTCTAAGGCTAGTTCTCAAGGCTAAATTTCCAGATAGTTAGCAGTCTAAATTAGCCTTATCTAACATTAGTTGCCTAAAACGCTACCTGCTAACCTCTAAGCAGCAAGCTCTTATATTAACAATACTTCTCTTTTTAAAAGAACTTAATTAGATAAGTATATATAAATTTTAGAAGTTATAAGTTACTTATTTATATTACTACTATAGTACTATAAAATAAAATAAAAAAACTAAAGTATATATTATACTTTAAGTTAAAAAAGAGTAATATAAAATAGTTACTACTACTATATCTTTATTACTTATATAATATATATACTATAGTAGACTTTATTATTACTACTACTTTTTTAAACTTAAATATTTAAATTACTTACTATAGCTTTATAGTACTTAAAAGTATTTTTTATAAAAGTCTTTACTTTATAAAAACTACTATAAGTAAGTTTATATTACTAGTAAAAAGTCTTTTTTATTTTATTATTATTATTATTTTTTTAATATATTTACGTAAAATATAAAAAAGTTTTACTTTATTTTTAGCTAACTTTATAGTATTATTAAGTAGAAATCTAAATCTTAAGTAGTAATACTTATTTCTCTCTAGGTCTAAAAGATAGAGTCTATAGCGTACTTTTTTTTAAACTAAGTAATTACGTAATTATATAATTATGTAATAACGCGTTATAATATTAGACCTAATAGTAAACTTAAAAATCTCTAACGTAAGCCTAGATTTATAACTTATAATACTTATACTTATACTACTACTACTACTACTACTACTAATATAATAGTTACTACGTACATAATTATAATAGGCTAACTACTTTATATTTATTATATATTACTAATAGCTATCTAGACTATTAACTAGTACTAATACTAGCTTTATATAATTATGTAACTCTAAAAGGTAATCTAGTAAGTCTACTACTAGTATAAAGTCTAATTTAACCTAAGATACCTATATAATATCTATATAATTAATCTATATTCTATATATAATTACCTATAAGCCTAGCTATATTAGCTATATTACGTAACTACTACTTACTATTTATATTTACCTTATCTACCTACTTATCTACTTATTCTCTATTTATACTAATAACTTCTAAGCTCTTACTACTATAGTCTAAACTTTATAATAATACTTAGATTACTCTAAAGCGCCTATAACTACTATTTCTTAGCTTACTAGTTTATTTACTACTATACTTATACTAGTAGCTTATTTCTCTTTTTTTAGATAATTTTAAGTATCTCTAACTTCTAGAGTAAACTCTAAAGATAAAGTTTTTTATATTATATATACTTTTACACTACTATAGGTACTAGTACTATTATAGTATAAGTATATATACTATTTACTATTCTTTAACGCTTAAATTTCTTCTAAGTAAAGGCTTTATCTTTTTTCTTTTTTATAGTATAGTATATAAATAGTATATTTATCTAGAATAGCTTAATAATAAAGAGCACGTTTATATAAAAATAATTATATAGTACTAGATTCTTTAGATTAAACTCTACTAAAATAATAATATTATAAAAAGTTACTACTATATTATTTAAGTTACTATTATATATTTACGCTCTAAGCTATAAGATATTAAAAGTTATATTAGTATTAGTAATACTAACTCTATAAGAGACTAAGCCTATTAGTAGTACTAAGTAACTATTATTTAAGCTAAGTACTAAAGAGTTAGAAGTACTTACTTAGGTAGTAGGTATAGAGAGAAAAGTAGAGTTTAATATCTTTAAAGTAATATTAGTATTAGTATTAAGCTTAGAAGTTATACCTAGGTATTTAGCTAGGTATTTAGCTAGATATTTAGATTTCTTAAAGATATAAGAAGTTCTTTAAAATAAAAAGTTATTAGATAGAAAAAAAAAAAAAAGAAAAAAAGTATTCTCTATATATAAAGTTTATATAACTCTCTTTAGGCTACTATTCTTTATACTATAATTTAACTCTATTACTAACTAGAGTTTACTTATATAGTACTATAGTTTAACACTACCTCTACTATAGTTTTCTATCTACTTCTATAGCTAATAAAAAAGCTTTTATTTAATATTATACTACGCTTTACTTTTTGCGCTTCTTGCTAAGACCTTTTTATTATTACTATTAGTATCTATCTTAGAAAGCTTATTTCTATATTAATTTCTAGAATTAAGAATATTTTAATATTTTTATAGCTATATAGCCTCTAATAGCTCTATAGCTTACCTATTACTACTCTATTACTATCTCTAAGTATACTAAAGAAGCCTCTATTACTATTACTCTCTATAAGTATATTATTATTATTATTAAAGTACTATATCTATAGTAAATGTTATAGAAAGAGTTTTATTAATTATTATAGCTATATATAGTAAGTATAAGATATTTAGAAAATATACCTATATTAAGATTACTATATAGAGTTACTAACTACGTTTTATTACTCTACTCTATATTAACACTTTACTATAATAAAAAAAAAAAAGTAGTAATACTTATAGCTTAAAAAGCTACTAATTCTAAAAAAGTAAAAACTATTACTAGTACTTTAAAAAATATATAACTAAATCTTTTATTTACTTTTAAAAGTATAGTATTAAGTAAGCTAAGACTTAAAGTTTTAGTACTACTATCTTTAAAGTAGTTAAAGCTTTTAAATTTTTTAGGCTTATAAAATAGCTATTTTAATACTTTATAAAAAAATTATAATACTAAATACTTTATAAAAGAACTTTATAAGAGAATTATAATCTAATTATATATACTTATTAGCTTATAACTAATAAAGTAATATATTTTAAAGCTTTATAGTTAGAATATATATACTAAAATTTTTTTTAGTAAAAGCGCGCTCTTTTTATTTTATAAGTTACTACTTTTAGAAATTTAAAGATATATTAAAGATATAAGTAGCTTAAATTTAATACTAAACACTATACTAGTTAAATAATTTATAAGTCTTCTTAGTACTTATAAGAATAAAACTAATCTCTTACTAGTTATTTTACTATCTTACTAAGAAGCTTTACTAAGTTACTTTATTATTACTATATTAATTACTTTTTATATAACTATGTTACTATTACTTACTAAAGCTTCTATAAGTAGCTTAGAGTTTATTTAGATAGCTATTTTAAAAAGTATTTTAGTAGCTATTATATAGAAATTTATCTATTTAATATTTAAGGCCTACTCTACTAATACTTCTATTAAAGCTTTTATTATAGCTTTTATTATAGCTTTTATTATAGCTTCTATTATAGCTTTTATTAATACTATATTATAAATGTATACGCCTAGAGTAAGGTCTTTTATTATTCTCTCTACTAGTCTTAATTTTAAGAAACTAGTTATTAATATATATAGATTCTTTAGTAGAACTAAAGACTTTATTTACTTAAACTAAACTAGTACTTATTCTTTTACTACTATTTTAGCTACTAAGCTATTATTATTATTATTAGTTATTCTTAATATTTATACTTACTTCTTTATATATAAAGTAAAGTAGACTATAGATTTAGATTTAGCTCTATCTAATCTTATAAATAAAGCTATAAACTTATAGTATAAGGCCTTAAATTTAATACTTAATAAGACTAAAAAAGAATAAAATAAAAAAGAGAAAGCGTTTATAAATAGTTTTTTAAGTACTAAGATAGTTAAGTAGATATTAGCTATAATAGATATCTTTTATAGTAAAAACGCCTTCTAAGAAATAAGCTTTAGATAGTTATTATATTAATATTATTAAAGAATAAAGATAAAGTTATAGTTATAGTTAATAAAGAATAAATATAGCTAGTTTTATTAGTATTATACTTATTACTATATATTATATTATTTCTAGTTATTTTTAGTTATAGTATAAACTAAAAAGTTATATAAGTAAGTATAAAATAAGTTTATACTATAGACTAAAATAACTATATTACTATAGTAATATATACTAAATTAATATTAAAATTATTTAGTAGTTTTAAAAGAGACTAGCTTAAAGTCTTTTAATATTTTTAAATATCTTTTAATATTATTTTACTATAAAGATAACTAAATTAGGCTTAAGATACTAAACTTTATAGTATATTATAGTATTAGTATTAAAAATATAGCTAATATATTAAAATTAATAACTACTAAAAAGACTTTTTTTAACTACTAAGAAAGCTACTATAAATAGCCTTTTTTAATAACTTTAAATACTTAGCTTTATACTATTACTAGTAAAATAAAGATTTTTTAGTATAAATATTAACTTTATAAATAAGCTATAAAAAAAAAAAAAAAAAAAAAATTTTAACGCTATACTAGTAGGCTATAGTATAAAGCTTACTAACTTTAAAGTTTAAAAAGTTATAAAATAGCTAGCTAAAGTAAATAAAATATATTATAGAATATATAATTATATAGGTAATAATAGCTGCAGGTAAGACACGAGGGATCTAAGCGGCAAGCAAAAAGCTAACATAGCTTGTCAACCGAAACATATAAGGTTCTTGAAGAGAGAACGTCGGGTTATACAAAAAGAGAGAAGCTGAAAAAGTTCTGCCAGACGAAGTACCCGGACGTCTCGTCTGTAGATGAGTTCGCTATCGAAGTATGCCCGGAATGCAAGGTCGTAGGGGTGCCGCAAGCTGCGTCTTCACGGCTGCTCTGTGAAACAATAGAAGGCAATAGGAAGAAAGGCTTCGAGTTTCAATGCAGATAACGCCGATAGAGCAAACGGTGAATGAGCGGAGTTAAGATGAGATCCTCTGATCTTGTTGGGATTGTCGCGGGTTACGGAGTCGATAAAGAACATGCGCAGCTTGTAGTTCAAGACCTCGGAGAAAACATGACATCTCTCACTAGATACTAACGTGACCAAGTAAGCCACTAACCTTGGCAGACACGAGCAAGTCAGGTTGGCACGGCATCGTCCACGGGTGCCGCTGAAGAGGCACGTGCATTAGAGCTAGGGCGCATCTGGAAAGGACCCATGTCTGCCCTAATGAGGTTTGGCTCGCCGTTCGCGTCATAACCTGAATCCTCCACGCGTCCAGATGTCGACGCGTCAAGCTGTCACAAGCATTTAGCCATCGCGGGACATCGCCTGTACCTTCTATATTTACATCCCATACTACTGACTACAAGAGTGCTCCGCACGCTCTTCGGAGCTCCCCACGTCATCGAAATTCCCGTTCGCGAACGCCACCAGCATCCACACATGCGCCTCGCTCGATGCGAACCGATTCGCGAACGTTAGCACACCGGCTGTCGCACGAACAGCGATATTGATACCATAAAGATTACGGAGTATAAGGTCGTAGCTTTCCTACGACCCCATTGGTGCGCCCAGGAAGGAAAGACGACTCGTCACACATGAAGTTCTGGAACTGCTGCTCTTCAGTGCTGAAGACGCATGTCACTACTTGCCAGTAGTCACGAGCCAGGCATGAAGACGCTTCTCCAGGCCTGTTATGAGAGGCCCGCGCAGTACTTCGAGATCTGAAGCAGCAACAACCTGTGGCGCTCCATCGTACAGCATCAGGGCTTCGCGGGTTAGCTATTACGAGGTGCTGCCAAAGTCTGAAGCGTCTGTCGTTTTGCTAATCGCAATCGGCGATATGAGTATGGGGAAGAGCTTTGAGAATGACCCAGCATCATGCTCTGAACAGCGTGCGGCAACGTGATCTGCGCGAAGACACAACCAGAAGTAAGTGCTCACTGGTCATACACTGAGTACTTGCACCAGCTCCAAGATTGCGGCAGTCAGAGGTCAAATCAAAGCAGCAACGTCGTCACTAGCCAATTCGATCAGTTCACACTGCATGCCCCCCGTCGGCCAAGGAATATTCTTTCCAAACAGTGTAATTTTCACTCAACGTGCCTTCGCGTTGATACACAACGCAGCCGAAGAACAACGGAATTGGAGAGTGAATGACAAAGAACCCTCTCTGATCAATCGCTCTACTCCTAAGTTCGCCCAACTTTTAGGCTAGCCATCGGTTGGAGTGAGCCTTTGTGTGCCACTTTGACAATATTTCTTGCACTACTTCTATTCTACCTCTTCTCCTCTCCTTCCACCAGTACTCTTCCCACTGACACATAAGCCCCCAACGCAGCACAACATGTCGTCTTGGAGATTCCGCACACCCCAGGATTCGTTCTACAACCGAGTCTACGCTAGACCCGCGACGTACGCGTCATCCCGCCCTCTTGAAGACACCCACACTCCTCAATGTCGCGCTCGTCGCGACCAGTTGTAAGAGCCTCAATTCCTAATCTCACGTATGCAAAACTAATATACTATGCAGAAGTGAGCTCAACGTAGCCAACTCGCCCCTTCTCCGCCTACCCGCCGAGCTACGCAACACAATCTATACCTACGTCTTTAGCAGCACAGCCTGCGGCTTCGTAGATCATAACAACGACAGGGACTTCGATCCCGGTCAGATATTCTCGTTCCATAGGTGCAATTTCGGCTTAGTAGCCACATCTCGTCAGCTCTACGCTGAAACCGCGTTGCTTCCATATAAACTTGGGTTATTTCAATTTTTTCTCCACAGTCCGAGAGCCCCGTGGGAAGTTTATGTAAGGGCTTTCATCGGCAGCAGATCGGAGGAACAGCTTAGAGCTATGGGCGAGGAGTTTGAAGTCTGTGGATATGATCCTGAGATCAGAAATGATAGGCCATATTGGGGTACCGGGGTGCAATGGGCTGACGCATTCGCTAAGAATGATGTGAAGGCATTGTGTCCGGAATGGTATAGACGAAGGATTGGGGAAATCTGAGACCGTCGGGGGAGCGTCCATGTATACATGCGGTGGTATTCATCGAGTTACAAATCTATGGGTATTCTGACCATTGCAGTTGGTCACTGTATTAGCATCTTTCCTTTCAATCAAAGACATGTGAGTATACAATGATAAGAATGCCCACAGTACTTGATTCTTCGGCGGACGCAGTTCATCTCTTCCAAGTCTTGCTGTGTAAAACATTGCATGGCGACCGGAGAACTGTAACGAAGGATTAAATCCGATATAGATCTCCGGATGAGCGACTCAAGGCGGTGCACCCTGCCTTCCGCCGGCAGCTAGTCAAACAACGCTAGCCGCATTCAACAAATGGACCGCCCAGGTGCTCTCATTTTCTACGACGCAGCCTTGTCACAAGACCACCTCGCTTTCGGCACCCCAAGTCCAATTCATCATGGCACCCCGAAAGTGCAAAGCGCCATCTTCGGCGAATGCAGCTTTCGCACAAGAGATTCGCGACGAGAGGGCCCGTCGGAGGGACGTGATTCGGGATCCAAGTTCACTCGATCGACTGTAAGTACCATAACAAGCTATGCGACTGGTCCGACTGACAAGTACTACAGCACTGAGCTCAACTCCATTGAGTCACCTCTTCTACGCCTGCCAGCCGAGATTAAGATCATGATCTTCACCTACATCTTCAGCGGCAACGAATACATTTTCCGTGGACGTCAGGGTAACCTTGTCTCCTGTGCAGGATCATTTACGCAAATGGACATGGGTCTTCTCTTGGTCTCACGTCAAGCCTACGCTGACACCGCTCTGCTCCCATATAAGCTCGGCAGGATCTATTTCCTTTTCGCTGGAAGCTACCACTGGAGTCAATGCAGTCAAAGCATTGAAAATTTCCTGAAGAAGAGATCGGCTGAACAAATCAAGGCGATCGTCAGTCTACGGGCTTCTGGGGCAGGGGAGAAGACTGGGGTATGGTGGGCCAACAAACTAGGTGTTTGATACCTTCGTCAGAAAGTCACTGGAAGGATATAATGGATCAGCACAGGCAACATGAATCGGATCTCTTCTGGACTGTCTGAGTCAGAACGAGAGAGCGACCGTATGTTTGCATCGGGGAAGCTTCGGAGTGAAAGAATGAGGTAGCAAAGAACGGTGAAACCTGGCAAAGGTGAACAACACGCATGGCCCTCTAATGTCGCTCTCAGCAGCCACTAGTTTAGTAGAGAATGCCGCACCTATACCAGTCTGGCAGTCTGCTCCCAACCTACTTCTTCTCCCCTCCTCATTCAACCAACCACCTCGCTCATATTACACCACCCACAGCACAACGCACCAAGCTGTCACAAAAGCGCTCAACAATGCCTTCTCGTCTGAACGGCCAGCCCCCAGCAAAGAAGCGGCGCTTTGAGGGTGCTGAAGAGAGGGCAGCGATCCGACGTCTCCGCGAGCAAGCTCCTCGCGACAAGATGTAAGTCACCCAGCTTTTGCCATTTCGAAAGCTAATGTGTCGTTTGTAGCACCGAAGCTAACGCTACCAACTCGCCTCTTCTCCGCTTACCAGGCGAGCTACGGAACATGATCTACACCTACGTATTCGGCGACAAAAACTGGAACTTCGTCGGCTGGAGGACACGGAAAAACTCAGCCAAAGAGAACGACCTAGCGTTACTGCTCACCTCTCGTCAGCTTCATACAGAAACTGCACTGCTTCCATATATGCTTGGAAGTTTTCATTTCAGAATGATGTACATGGGAGTAGAGTATGGAGAAGTTCGAGTGGGTGACTTTCTGGAAGAGAGATCCGAGGAGCAGCTTGCAGCCATTAGTAGTTTGGCGCTCCAGAGTTATGATAATGACCGCGATCAACCCACATATGATTGTGGAACCGGAGAGTACTGGGCAGAAAAGCTAGCATGGGTCCAAGATATTTGGCTATCCGCCTTGCCTTTTGCTAAATGTCCTCTCTTTCTTTTCTGAACATATGGCGGAGGGCTATTCATCGAGGTATCCTCTGAGCAGCGACATCGGCATGCCTAATGCATTAGCGGTCAATACTACACCCACTTCACATACTCATTCTCCCAATGACCTGGCCATGCGTGCGCACATTATGCACTCTTCAAACGCCAGACGGGCGGCGGTGAGGTGAATATTCCGCTTCACACCTCCGCAGTGACGCTCCCGATTGGCTAGAGCGGCGCATTCCTCTCGCACCTGCGCGCGCACTCAGGGCCCTCACCGTGAGTGGCCATGCATCAGGTGACGCGTGTGAAGGGCGCGCATCGACGCGTTTTGTTGTTGTTTTCTTCTCGTTCGCGTTCCGAGTTCTTGACTTCCTCTCACCACCACGACCACTCACTTTCGTGTCGGCGGCCAACTCTTTCCACGCAGGTGTTCTTCGACTGTACAGCTTTGCCAGATTAATTGTACCCCTTACGACACTTGTACACCTCACCCTGGAGCCTACATCGACGTTGTACGAGGTGCACATCCGCTCGAACCCACCACCGCCATGGCGCCAGCTACCGTCTCGACGCCGCAGAAGCGCAAAGCTTCACTCTCGCACACTTCGGCCTCGGCTAAGCGTACTCGGTCCGTCTCGATATCCGTCAAGGTCACCCACACGACCGCCGATGATGGTCCCGGCAGCCCAGATCTCCCTGTCGTACTCAAAAACCCACAAGCGTGTCTTAGTGGCATACCGGAAGAACTTCTCCTGAAGATCATGGAGCATGTGAAGGAAGTCGGCCGTTACGACGCACTCTCGAAGCTGTGTCGTACAGATAAGCTCTGCAAGCGAATCGCGGAGGTGGTAATGTACAAGACCGTACGCGCCTTAGGGTCTTCCATGTGTAAGAAGGGCGCTGCGATTGCCAGCAACCATCTCCTCTCCGAGCACGTCCGCGAAATCAAGGTCTTTTTCGGCGGGAAAAGATTCAATAAGGACGCATGCAACAAAATCTTGGCCAAGGCCCACGACATCCAAGCGTTCCACGTGACGGAGACATATGACCGGCCCGAGGATACACCGAAATGGTTGCAGATGTTGAACAGCGCTGTTGCGCGACCCGTCGGTGGTCATGTCAATCGATTTGCTAAGCTCAAGGAGCTCAACATCGCTGCCCGTTACCTCTCAGTGGAGGAGCTTTCCTGTGTGTTCCGTCTTCCCTCCCTCGAAACGCTTATCCTCTGGGAGATATGTCAAACAACACCTGTTGAGAACTGGTCGGTCCCCGAGTCGAGTAGCTCAATCCGGAAACTTCACCTGGTTCATGCAATGATGGACATTTCTGTTGTCGCACAAATGCTCCTCACGCTCAAGGCCCTCCACAGCTTTCGATACCACCGCAGTACCGGGAGGTGGGAGCCGTTCGCCGCAGAAGGCAATCCTTTGTCAATCTGGCCTGAGCACTCCTGGAAACTCCTGGGTGATGCGCTGAGGGGACATCGACACTCGTTAGAAGCGGTCTATGCGACGGACGATAGTGACAAAGACATCCTAGACCTGGTGTATCCTAACAGTCGGGACGTTGATACCCTGGGATCTCTCCGAGACTTTCCGAGGCTGAAGTGTTGCCATGTGCCGGTAGAGGCATTCCTCGATCCTAGGATCGGTGGAAATGATCGCTCATTGTATCTACCACCGCAAGTGGGAGAGGGTGGTACCGAGGCCAAGCCCGGTCGTCGAGGCTGTAGATGCGATTTTCGAGGGTCGGTCTGGTGTGCATAGTCGTTACGTATCTGTCGCGTCGAGTACTATGACGGGGAGGTCATCAAGTTGTTTGTAACTGTCGGTGTGTGCCATAGTCTCCTTATCGACTTGGCTGCGTTTTGGGTCTGGTGTGATGAAGGTGCGTCTTCTACAAGTAATTCGTTCAGTAATAATGTATAATGGTTGCAAATCACCGCGTTACCAGTATCGTTGTCGGGTTTGCCCACACATATTTTAGGCGTGTCTTTGTCTGATTGCGACAGCAGCAAGGTAACCAGTCGCCGACGCGTCGCTGTACGTGAGTGCAACTCTGATCGATATCTTTGTGATAATGAGCTTCACCGCATGTGCACGGTGGCAAACATCAGCTAGAGATGCCTCGATCGTGAAGGTTGAGGCAAGCGCGCTCGCGTCGCGTCGCAACATGATGACGTAATATTGATTTCGATCTTAGCGTGGCGCGTTCCCCTCACACATCAGATCCACGACCTCAGACCTCGACATGTCAACCTCCGTGCATCATTGGCTGACACTGGTACTCAAACTCTACGCATTTCTGAGTAGACTATACTTTTTAATGACAGATATCGTGGCCTCTGTACGGCGCGCATCCCGAAGCCCAGCGTCTGCTTGTCCCTGCCTACCACAACGTTCGTGCGCTTGTTGGCTATCGCCCCTGTCGGAGTTGCGCGAATAATTGTTTCTTTCTTCCGCGCGTTTGCAGCGATTACGAAGGCCTTCGCTGGCCTTGGTCGCGCTCTACCGTATATCGTTGAAACATTCCTTAGGCGCGGAGGCCTTCCGCTCCTGGTAGGTACAATTCAAGATTCGACGCCGCCGAGCACCACTACGCGCAGACTAAGTTCGCACATTCCCTTTTCTATGATCCCCTTCCTCTTATCTCCTCTAGAGTCTGGCTGCGAACGCCTCTCGTCCAGGTGTTGTATATTGGTCCGCATGCCCAGACGCCTTGGAAGTCTTGGGCTCCGCTAGCGGGCCGTGGCAATGATGTTCGCTCCTTTCCCGAGGCCCTCCCGAAAGTACCAAGCCGGATATCTGTGGCGCACCATCTGTATACGAATTTCGCTGCTTGGCGACAGTACTCCACTCAAGAAGTGTATGGACACCTTCCCTATCAAGTTAGCGGAATTGTAGTCCTGACCTTCCGCATAGAGTATGGATGCCAACGGATGCCCAGAGTATATTGCTGTACCAAGACGGTAACATGGTACTGAATGGTCGTGTGGCAAGGCAACGGTCGAGGGCGAGATCTTGCACCATGAGGGTACCACACTCATATATATACCTGTTGAGCTGCATAGGAAATGTGCTCATTCCAGCTCAATCCTTCTCTTAGCTCCTCAAGATGAAGTTCTCACTCGCTGTGTTGGCACTACCAGTTGCGGTCCAGGCTGCGCACTACTCCAAGTCGGAGTATGCCTCTGGCGCGATTCATCAGAAGTTGATGAAGTTGAAGAGTGTATGTTCATACTTCGCTTCTTTCGCCTGACGATCAACTAATGACATCTTCTAGGATCAATGGGAAGTCGACGCAGCTCAAGGCAAGCAAGACTCTCAGCAGTGGAAGTCTTTCAAGAGCTTGAAGAAGGGACCTCACGGACCCGACAAGGTCAAGCGTGTCCAATGCAAGGACGGTCTCGCCGTTGTCGAGCAGGGCAATGCGAACCAGACGTTCAGGTGTAACAACATGGACCTCTACGACTTTGTCAACCACGCCGACATGGGAGGTCCTGAAGGCCAGGGTAGCTCTTCATGGGGTTGGACCGCTCGCAATGGCCGTGAGTTCGGTATCGTAGGCCAGTTCTCTGGTGCTGCGTTTGTTGAGATCCTCAAGGATGGTCAAATCCAGTACATGGGTCGTCTCCCCGCTCAAAGCGTGGGTTCGCGATGGCGCGAGATCCGCGTCCTGAACGACTATGTCATTATCGGCTCCGAGGCCGTTGGTCACAACGTTCAGATCTTCGACATGAAGAAGCTTCTGACTGTCGACCCAAAGACCCCCAAGACATTCGACCCCAAGGCCGACCTCGTTGGTCTGTTCGACGAACTGCCCATTGGCCGCACCCACAACGTCGTTGTTGACTGGGACAACGAGTACATCCTCGCTGTCGGTGCCCAGCCCCGAAACCAGACCTGCAAGGCTGGTCTCCAGTACATCGACCTCAAGAACCCCAACAAGCCAACCTCGCCCGGCTGTGCTAGCCAGGACGGATACGTCCACGATGCCCAGTGTGTGACCTACAACGGTCCCGACCGCAAGTTCCGCGGCCGCAACATCTGCATCGGCTACAACGAAGACACCATGACCGTCTACGACTCCACCATGAAGAACGGCAACCCTGCCTCTGAGGTCATCTCCACCCTCTCTTACCCCGGTGCCACCTACTGCCATCAAGGATGGTGGACCGAGCGCAACTGGCACCAGTACGTCCTCCTGAACGACGAGCTTGATGAGCAGGAAGCTGTCGGTCCCGCTGCGTCCGGCCGCCCCGTTACCCACATCATCGATCTCACCGACCTCCGCAACCCCAAGGCCACCGGTACTTTCTACGCCACCGACAGCAAGGGTATCGACCACAACCTCTACATTGTCGACGGCCTCGCCTATCAGAGCAACTACGGTGCCGGTATCTGGGTACACGATGTCCGCAGCATCAGCAAGGACCCCACCGGCAAGGGCGTCAAGACCGAGGGCTTCTTCGACATCTACCCCGAGGACGACTCTGTTGGTGGAATCGTTCAGTTCGTTGGTACTTGGTCTCACTTCTTGTTCCCCTCTGGATACATCCTGGTCAACACCATCGAGCGTGGTGCGTTCACCGTCAAGCTCGCCAAGGGTCGCGGAGCTAAGCGCGGTCCTGGCTTCGGTGGAAAGTCCAAGGGCCAAGGCAGATAAACGCCATGTAGATAGTATAACATACAAAAATCACATCTTCATTACTTCAACTTTAGTATGTCTAATATCCACGTTCTGTATGCAAGAGTGTTGAGTAGCTGGTCGTCGCTGGTATACTTGTCGAGCGGACGAGAGCGAGCTGTCGCAGGCGCATGTTGAGTAAGCAGAGCGCGATTCATTTCTGTCTCATTCAACGTTCTGGGAGAACCAATGTGAAAGGGCCACGTGCTCCTGCCTATCCATGGATGTCTTACTCAGGCGGAATGTTGCATCTCATACAAGGAAAAACTGAACAGGTACTGTGGCGTCTACATTAGTACAAGGGCCGAAGTTTACATATTCTTCGGGGTAATGTAGACTTCTAGGTGGCAGTTGTTCAGTTTTCATATGTATGAGGTGGTTGTGGAACATGTCACTGCGTACCTGCGTCATTTCACTAGCGGCTCTTGGCGGGTGCTCTTGCCTTCTCTACTTGTTTACTCCCACCTTCTACCGCTCAACTTACTCCAACACCAACTCTACCGCGTCGTAAGCGTCACCACTGGTTGCAAGATTACTGATGGCGCCCACTACGTAAGTCTTCTCTTCTACTCATCGCGCACTCCCGTGATCATCCACTAACCTCACTTTAGACGATCCGGCAGCAAGCGCGCAAGCGGCGACGCTTCAGCCAAAAAAGTCACCAAGAAAGCGAAGCAATCCGTCAAGACGGCTGCAAAGCCTGCGAAGAGTGAGGAGCCCGCAAGCGAAGCTCCGCAGTACTTCCGCTTCCTTGATCTTTCTCCGGGTATGGCTTCTTGCATGGCATCTCGAAGTGGCTATCAAGTGCTGATACTACATAGAGCTAAGGAACAGAGTCTACGACTACGCCAAAGAGGACGACTCCAACCGCTTCGCCCCACAGCTTGCTCGACAGAACCTCCCATATGCTTCGCGCAAAACATATGCAGAGCGAACCTGGAAGTTCTTCGCTCTGACTCAAGTTTGCACGCAGATCCGGGCAGAATATCGTCCTCTTTGGGTTCAGCATCTTCGTGTTGCGTTCATGTCGACTTACTATCTTGCCAACTTCCTCGATACCTTTCTACCATCTGAGAACGAACCCAAGCAAGCGCCTAAGCTGGTACAGTTCTTGTGGGACCATGGCCACGATGACAAGACGAAGTTTGATCTGACGCGTATCTTGCGCCTGCACTCGCATTCCCCATCATTTCAAGTCGAATTCGTTCCTGAGAACGTCGTACTCGGACAGAGTGTTGATGACGACATGTGTCACAGTTGTTTCAGGCGATTTTATAAGGAGGAACAGGGTCTAGATCCAGACAGCGACGATGACGACTGCGACTGTCCAGACTTCGATATGAGCAACAGCGAGTGGAAAGAGTTCAAGCACGAGCAGATGAAGTACACTTCTGATATCTCCGTCTTTATCCACAACACGACTGAAGCTTGGATGACGGCGGTGAAAGAGGGCAAGGTGACCGTCACTTGCACTTTCTGCCAGTGGAGCCAGCATGTCATCTTCAGAATCCTCTGCAAGGACCCGGTTTGTGAGACGACCACCAACTCTCAACCGGCTTGGGATCTACTCCAGCAGTGGGGCATTCTCGACCTTCAAGTGAACAAAGCAACGCAATTTATCTTGGTATATAACGAGGACCATACCATGGACCATGATGGTTACTTGATGAGCAACTCAGTCGTGCGTCAGGTTCTCATCCGCAAAGCGTACTCGGCGAGCTAGGTATCAGATAGATGGTTGTGCGGTACAGTCAACTACACGCGGCTTCAAGAGTAGGGATACATTCCAATTGAAACGCGAAGAGACATTCAGCCTGCCACTCCATCGTGATCAAAATATGAACAGCACCTCATATAAGGGAAAACCTAAACAGGTCTGCAGACTACATTAACATGAGTGCGTGCAAAGTGGGTGTGTTGACTTCGATGTAGACCCCAGAGTGTTCACTTTTTCCCTAGGTTGACGTGACAATGATGACAACGCCAGTCCTACCCTCACCAACAAGCAAAGCTCTAAACTGAGTAAATTCCGATTATCAAATTTTTCATTCCATTCTCTCTTTCGTAGGTATAAACGTAACGGTGCCTCTACCAGGCAATCGACCAGCTGACCCAAATATCAAACGCTCAATCATACATGTAAAAAAAGCTCAACCAACAAAGATACCCAAGCCATATGTGAAGCAGGCCGTCAATCATAAAAGAGACGCTCCCAAGCTATATGCCCCTTTTTATTCCCTGACCGGCGCCGAGCAAGAAAATCGCTGGTCTTGATGCTTTCCCGCTCCCAATATACGCCGTAAATGCAATGCACAAGAGATTCATCATAGACTAGCTTCCGTACTACCGTCGTCAAGGTCGTCGGGGTTTGCGACGCCATCCTCGTCCTCGGATTCCGCTTCTGATGTGCTGTCGCTGTCATCATCAGCATCATCTTCGTCGTCGTCGTCCTCCTCCTCATCTTCATCATCGTCGTCGTCTCTTTCGACGGGCATACCGGGTACCGGCCGCCATGCTACGTAGTCGTGCTCGACCCAGCGCTTGCTCCGTGGGAGCACGTATGGATCGAAAGGAAAGTATGCGTCCAGGAGGAAGGCCTCCTCGCCCTTCTTGCTTGTGAGAGCAGTCTCTCGGCCGCCGATACCGTTGAGGTACCCACTGGCCAGACTGCGGGACAGTCGTACACGCTTATTTGTCTCTACCAGCGTATCGATGTATGTGAAGCGGAGGTGCTTGGCGATGCGGCCGAACTGCTTGACGATTTCCGGTGCGCAGATTCTGAGTGGGTTCAGCTTGCAGAAGATGTTGCGGCGTATGGTTTCGAGGGTCGACCGGTGCCACTGGAAGTCGCCTTCGTGGTACATGATGTCTGCGTCGGTGGGCAACGTGCCGTCGGGTGTGACGATGAGATCGCGCCATCGGAAGCAGAAGGCGTATAGCAGTGCCTGCACGATGGCGTAGTATGTGCCGTACCGGCGTAGGTCGGGACCGATGCACTTGGGCTCGTGTGCTTTTCGCTGGTCCTCAAGCTGGGAGCATAGTGTGTCGAAGACGTCGCGAACAATGGAGCCAGGAACGTGCGCGCCGCGCGCGATGTAGGAGGCGAGGTAGGCACATGCGGCTGAGCGTAGTAGCGGGGGTCGGTTCCGATCTATAGCCAGGTGCGAGCAGGTGTCTATGAACCGCCCCATGAATTCTGTCGAGATCTGACTGAAGTGGAAGAGCACGAATTGAGTATGTCGCGAGCGGTAGGTCGGGATGATGATGGACTGGAACTGCGCGATGAGGGTTTGGTAGGTGCGATCCATCTCTTGATAGTCGTTCCGTTCGAAAACGGAGTCGTAGTAGGAAAATTGCACGTCCATGACGGTGTCGAGCTTGAGCATCATGTCTTTGATGTCTTTGAGTCGCTGCTCTTCCGGGTCGAGGCTCTCGTCACTCGATACGGAGCCGTCATCGCTCACGTCGTCGTCGTCGTCGTCTTCCTCATCGTTGATGGCCCCGTCCATGAGTCGCTCCTCCAAGTCGTCGTCAATCTCTTCCATGTCTACCTGCATCTGTGCATCGATCTTGCATAGCTTGTCCGTGACGAGCGCCAAGATCTCGCCTCTGATCTCCGGCGCGTACTCTGTAACCTTGAAGATGTTCCGGATGTACTCGACGTGGACCTTTGCGGTGTCGTTGGAGAAGGGGAAGGTGCTGGAGATGACGGGCGCGAGGAAGGAACTCGCCATCGGACTGTATCGTAATATGTCCACAAGGGTCTCGTGTACGCGTGCTTGTAGGCGGACTCTTTGGATCGGTGGGTCGTCCTGCTGCCTGGCATTGACGGAAGGCGCACTCAGGAACATGTCGACCAGCATCTGCAGCACGGTCGACATGTAGCTCGACTGCACTGAAAGCAGCCTGCGCAGGAACATTCGGTAGGAGCGCAGGAAGTCTTCGTTACGCGCTATCCAACTGCAATCGATGACGGCATGCACCAGGCCCTTGCAGTTGCCGTCGAGTTTTGGCGTGTGTTCGGTGAGTGCGATGAGGTACTTTTGCAAAAGTCGCGATAGCGGTGCACCTGTGGACGTTGGTGCTTCTTTGAAGAGGGCTTTGAGCCCATCGTAGGCCGCCTTGTCGCCTGTCGCATGCCTTTCGATGGCGCGCCGCACCTCCTCACCCACCAGCTCCAGACTCTTCTCGTGGTGCTCGCTCAATATCCGCACGTTGACTTCGGGGTGGAAAGTGACTCGGCGGCGTTTGAGCGTGTCTGGGGTCGCGTTCTCGGCGTCGGACGAGTTGTCGATTTGCTTGCGTTTGAGGCTGCCACCCGCGCTCGGGGCGGCGGTGCCGAGAGTCCTGTTCATTGTGGCAAGAGCGACCATGTTGTGGGCAATGTGGTTGGTGAAGGGTTTACATCTGAGCAGGAGCGCGAGGTGTGGGAGATTGTCGTCCGTCGGTGGGCTGGTGAAATTGGCAGCGAGGACAGCGGGGGTGAACGCACGCGACTGTGCTGCGAAGTATTGAGCCCGAGAGAATTTCAGCGGGTCACTTAGGTAAGCCAGTAGTTCACCATGGTTCGCCGATCCAACACCCAATCACTGCAACAACCAATGATGCGATCCATTTGAAATCGTAGAAATGTTTTTAGTTTCCTATCCATCGCTTGCCTGTATCAGGATTGGATAACCACAGCTTCGCGAAGTCGATACGGACTGGTTGCTCGCGCTGGCCCCACCACGCACTGTTCTTCTTCGCGCTTCGTTTGATCAAACAATGCGTTTCAGGCTTATAATAGATTCTCTAGATCCTACCTGAGATCTTACCTCGAGGATTGGCGTCTTTTTGTTGTATGATCTACGAGCTCACATCTCACCGCATTGTGAAATGGCAATGTCTTGCACTGGCTTTCCTTCCGGGTTGGCTACTGTTCGCGTATTCTCGATCTTGGTGACAACGTCCATGCCTTCGATGACATTGCCGAAGACAACGTGCTTGCCGTTCAGATGAGGGGTGCCATTCTTCGCAGTGATGATGAAGAACTGGGAACCATTGGTGTTGGGACCTGAGTTCTGCAACAGTTAGTATGGGCTTGTCCGTGTAAGCTGCGAAAACTTACAGCCATGGATAGAAGACCTGGCTTGTCGTGTTTCAGGGTGAAGTTTTCATCGGCAAACTTCTCGGTCCCCCAGATAGTTCTTGAGCCAGTTCCGTTGCCATTTACAAAATCGCCGCCTTGGATCATGAAACCTTTGATCTATGTTCACTTAGCATGTGAAAGACAGTGCACTGTGATGCTACTTACGACGCGATGGAACTTGCAGCCTTTGTAGCCCTGCGGCTGTCCCCGGCTGTTCTTGGTCTCGCCCGTGCAGAACTGGCGGAAGTTTTCAGCAGTCTTTGGGACTACATCTCTGAACAGTTCCATCTTGATCCTCCCCAGCTTCTCCCCTGTTCGCTTATGTCAGTCACCATGGTCGGGTCGCGGGCGTTTGCCCAACTGTGGGCTAGGCCGAGAAAGACGCGTAGCAGATGGCGCGGGGTGAGGGGTAGCCACTACTGGGTCACATGGGTGGATGCATACCTCCTAGGGTGATGTCGAAGAAGACGATTGGGTTGGGCTCGGCAGTCTCCGCCATGTTTGCGGCAGTGCAGTGCTTGAAGAGCGGACTAGTGACGTTGGACGGGCTTTGGCAGTGATGATCGAGGGAGTCGTACGGTAAGTGAAAAAGGCGTTCCGTCCAGATGGTTCCAAGATATGCCGAGCAGAGACAAAGGTGCAGAAGCAGGGGAGTCGGGCTGCTGCCAGTGGTGGACAATGTTCATGTGGATACGCGCAGTTTGTTAGCGGGGAAGACTCCACCGGAAGGGCAGGGATCCGACATGTCTACGCAATAGTGAGCAGACGGCCTGTCTTGCGACACTGAACTCTGGTCCTGCGATGTGAGACTGAGGCTGTGTTGCAGTTGTAGTAGTGAGTGAATGTAGTCGTGTTGATTATGCATCACCGCATCAGGCTGTCAGCAATTTTACAGTGTGATAGCACCTGCATGCGACGGCATCCATGCGGCCCAAAGCAGAAACCCTGCTTCGGGGTGCATTGCGCGGACAGCGCCTGTGACATGTGCATGGTGGAATCGCAAGCAACACCCAGTGCATTCACGACGCTCCCCCTCACTATACAAACAACCTCATACTTACCACTCGCCACTGCCCCAAATGCCACACCGGCGTACCATTAACCTTCTACTGTCATCATTGATGGGCCTGGTTGCCGGTCATCCTTGGCACCTGCCGGCGACGTTAGCGACGCCTCTGCGGCCTTTATCCGCCTGAAGACCGGCACCTCCCCCGTTCAGCCCTCGGCCACGCACTCGCATTCACTGCCCTTCCCTGACCATCCCGCCGAGTCTGTTGCTTGACCACCAGCCCTCTTCGCATCGCATGGCCGATAACGATCCGTTCCCAATTCACCGCTAGCGATTGTGGCACGGGCAGTCACTGCGAACGACTACAGCCTCTAGGGAGCCGACTCTCCATCGCCACGCCCGCAGTCGTTGCCGTCACCATCACCGATTCATCACCTACTCCGGCCCTTTCCTTAGCCCTCCCGCCGCCACTTCCAACTTATCGCAACTACTCCACACGCGATAGATACTCCGTCGCCGTCGTGTCCAGTCGCCTCCTGATCCGTTTCACCTCCCGCAAGGCTCGCCGCATCCGGCCTCACTCGCGCATCGCTGACTCGGTGTCCTCCACGACTGCGCGATAGTATACCGACGTATGGAATAGCAGACTCGTCGCAGCCCACCATGTCCAACGTTGTGCTCTTCCCGCGGCAGCAGGCCACCCCAACAGACGGCGCCAACAACAGCGGCAGCAACAACAACAACAGCAACGGGCCCACCAGTTCGCCGCTGCTTTTTTTCGTTGCCCTGGGTTTCGGTGTCGTCTTTACAAACTTATGGTAGGCAATGGCAGTTGGCTCGGCTGCTGCTCCTCGTACTGACTGCGCTCAGGATTATCGTTGGTGTTAAGTACTGCTTCCGATACAACCGCCGTCGCGCGGCCCAGGCTGCGGCAGATGGCGAGCCAATCGACATGACCAACATGCCTCGCCCGCACCGGAGGAGGAGGGAGAAGAAGCTGATGACCATGGACGAGGTCAACGAGCGGTTCCCACTGACCAAGTATAAGCAATGGAAGTCAAGTCGCGAGACCGAGGGCTTGCCAGCTAACGGCGGCATTGCGACGGCACCCCAGAGCAGAGCAGCCAGCTTGAAGGATGTCGAAGGTGTCATCAGTGCCCAGGACGAAGGTCCAGGACCACGAACCGACACTGCCCTCTCCATGGCCCGCAACGACCTCAACGCCCCAGCCTCATCCACCGACCCGGTCGCTCCCCCGAGAACAAGTGTCGAAAGCAGGAAGAGTCAGCACGTGCAAGACCTTGAGAAGCAGGTTGACGACAAGTTGAACTCGGAGAAGACAGACAACGTTCAAGGGCAAAGTGGTACACCCCAGGCCAACGTGCGCGAGCGCGAGGACGACTCAGACGACGAAGAGGATCCCATCAGCACTGCCGCTGCACCCGAGATGTTGGCCGAGCCGGGAGACACGTGCGCCATCTGTTTGGATACCCTGGAAGACGACGACGATGTACGTGGACTGTCTTGTGGCCACGCCTTCCACGCCAGCTGTGTCGACCCATGGCTTACGAGTCGCCGCGCCTGCTGCCCTCTCTGCAAAGCCGACTACTACGTCCCGAAGCCCCGTCCTGAAGGAGAAGTTGACCCTCTTACTGGTCGCCGCTCAGTTGCTGGTCTTAGGTCACCACCGCAGGCGGTCTGGACTTCCACCAACCCATTCTCTCGGTCTCGCGTCATGGTCATCAACTCAGACTTCCAGCAGCGACAGGGTGGTGATCGATTCGGGCGACTGAATCGGCCTACTCGCCGCGAGCGCGTGGCTGGAAACGCGCCCCAAGCGACAGGGCAGACTGGCGAGAACCAAGGATGGCGATCGAGGATGGCGCTCAACCGAACTCAAGGCCCTGGCTTCTCAAGCTGGTTCGGCCGCAACCGTGGCGCCGGTGCCACTGGAGAAACCCCTGTCTCGCAGCAGCCAACTCCAGGACAGCTCGAAGCAGGTGGCCGATAGACGCGGTCCTGTTGTCACTCAGATTTCTCGATCGTTCTCACGCCCAATTACGACTACCATACCCTCCGTTTTGTACCCGATCCTCACGGCACTTTTCTGTTTTTCCACATTCCGGCGTTTCCTCATCCATATCCTGAGCAACTTTTCGTCTTGGTGTAATCTCGCTCACACAGTACCTATCAGAGCATAGCGGGGTCTCTCAACACAGCATTTGGCAGGCGGGGAGAATGGGCTATACATGGATAGTTGCTAGTTGCGACAAGGCTATAGTTCTGGACTGAACTGCTGAAATTGTAGATATTATAATCTACAGCTTTGCAGGCGACTTAGTCACAAGCAGGGAGGCTTTTTTGGCACATTATGTAGCATATACTAGGCGATTTCGATAGCGAGCGAATAGATACATGGAACACAAGATGTTTGAAGCAAGTGAGACCTCGCTTTTCGAACCAGAACAGTGATGCTAATTACACTACGTACTCACAAGCCAGCGCTGGGATCAGCGCGGTGAACAAAAGAGGTAACTGCGGCCCATGACGCTAGTCAGCAGCGCATCTCGCCTTACGTCAACCTCCATGTGCATGAAGTACTTAGGCACCTACATTGACGGAATCTCTTGGAAACATCCGATAGTCACGGCATAATATGCTGCAGGACACCCTCAGATTTCTTTCGCACAACTTGTTGAAATCCGACGTCTTCTCTAGGCAGCCGCCCTCACAGACGAACAACATGGCGACCGCCAAAATCACCACAATACCCACCGAAATCCTAACATCCATATTCGAGTACTTTGTAGACGACCACGAAACGCTCGAAAATGTCAGCAAGGCCTATCCAGAGCTCGCTCCAGCGGCAAACACAGTACGCAACTGCGTTCGAAGAGTCCTTGTCCGCGGAAATGGTGCACACGAAGCATGCATGGAGTTTCTCGAAGAGCTTTGTCTGGCCCATACACCGTCTGGTAATGCCATTGGACCCATACGCTATCTTGAGCTCGTCTTCGACAGCCGGGCACAATTCCGACTAGAAAACACATTGCAGGACATCCTGGATTTCCTTCCAGCGGTCCAACACGTCACGCTCAAAATCAACGCTCGGCCCTTCCCCGAAAGTCCTAAGCAGGAGCTTATCGAAAATTTCAAAGAGAAAACGCGCGGAGCCGTGGAAGACTATACGAAACTCATGGACATGCTCAACTCACTGAGGCCGGCAAGAAAAATCG